ACACAAAATATGGATCTATTGTCAGACGAAAAAAACTATGGCAACCATGCTCGCAATCATGAGCGGTGTTTTGATCTTTTTTTATTAGATAGTTACCATATATGGTTTGGGTTATGTTTTGTCCTCATGTTAAAATTATTTATAATCACCTGTGAGCTCTATGCATAACCTAGCAATTTAGTTTCGATAAATAAAACATGACCAACTAAAGATGCTTAGAGCATCTCCACATATCTCTTATACCCTCCCCTATATATCCTTTAAATAGGAAATGTAATAGCTACAGAAGATCTCCTATACATGTATTCTTTAGAATATCTCCTAAATCCACCACCATCTCTCTAAAAAATGGGAGACCTTTCCTCTCTCTTAAATCAGGATGAGGTTTTATATAAAGATTTTGGAGCATATGCCTTCTTTAATGCATCGTCGAAAGATGGAGCAACTGTGTTCCCATCCTTTACTAAATTTTATACTTGATCTTTTTTTCAATGATGATTTACATTATTTTTTAATTTTTATGTGACAGTATTCAAAATTTATGTCGATTATGCCAACATGGATTGTACTAATTTTTGCTTATTCTGAATGCTGAATTTCTTCTCAAGTTGTGCTAGATTTTGCTTTATCATAGTGTTAAATTTGGAAAGGCAAGACTGAACCACAAATTTGTACTTTTGAATAAATTATGTGAACCAGTAAGATTCAGATGAAACTATATGAATCAAATGTTGCCATAACGTATTGTGTGCACTTATTTAGCATCGCAACAAGTCATTGTTATATACAAAGGAGGGAATATATGTAATTACATAGTCATTGTTATAGAAAAACAAGATTGACACCCAGCTTTTAAGAAAAGCTCATGGTGTTTGGTTCACTCACTGGTAACATAAATAGTTTGGGAAATGGATTACGGAGGGAGCGGTGGTGGCGTGTTTACTTAATTTGTTTGGTTGGAGCACGGTAATGTTATTGAGAGCAAGGAGAGCAGATGCGCTGCACCAGCAGCCTCCTGTAATGCTTTAAGGCTCGGGGAGGAGTGGAATGAAAAGTGAATAGGCCGGGTGTCTCGGCTGCCCATTCCACAAGAAGTCACTTTGTTCTCTATTTTTGACCGATTATATTCCTTCTATCGTGGATAAGTACTGAGGCAGAATTCAAATGTGCGTACAAACGAACTAGAACTTCAGGCGTGGGCCCGGTCCGCGGCAACGCTTTGTGAGTTCGAGAATCGGATTTATGCCCCACTCCTAATAATGTGAAGATACCCTAATGTGAAACACAGTTCAAGTCCTAACCTTACCACGGATCTAAACCCAGTCGGCAGGCCGGCCAGATCACTTTTTTTTTTCTGCCCGACCAGACCACATTGGAGCAATGGAGCCCAGCCCAACCCCTATTTGTCTTGTCTATTTCACCTCCCAGCAGCCAACTACGGCTCGACAAGTTCGGTCCATTTATGTTAGAGATCTTTATGTTACTTCCGCCACAGAATATTTTCATGATTGCTCAAAAAATATATATTTTTTCTTGAGCGGTTGACCCCACGCAAATGGAATTTTCATGAGCAAGTTTTTTAGTCGACCAATGACCCAAATTAATTAAAACTGCAGAGCGAACAGGAGTGAAGGTTGGGGAGAAGAAACATAGAAGAGAGGCGCGTGACTGCTCGTGGGAGAAGAGCAACGTAATAAATAGTGGCGGTAACGGCCGCAATTGTGGTTTGCCGCTACCGCTACGAGGTAGCGCTCTGAACTTTACAGCCTAGAACTTTGCAGCCTAGGACTTTGCGGTCGCAATTGCATGCAACAGGCTGCAATAGCGTGAAAACAAATAACCCTAATCTGCCCAGCCCACTACAACTCACACCCCCAAATCAAACACACTCACGCATCGGCTGTAGCCTCTAGGTCTAGATTTAGGTATTCTTTGAGTGTAATTAAATGTCTATTTATACTCATTATTCATGATATATTTACTTAAACTTATGTGGGATTATCGGATGCCATTATTGAAACTTATAAATCCATAATATATCGCTTCGCTATCCACAATCCACTACCTCGACGTCAATCCGCTACCAAATCGCTATATGCTATTTATTACCTTGGGGAAGAGACTCCGAGGTAATTAGGATATTCGGACTCCATGGTTATATAAACATGAACTTTCCAAACTAATTTCTAGTATCTAGGCTTAATACCCGATTTAAGAACTAAATTTTTAGTTTTCAGGTATTTCGGATTCAAAGTTCGAGAATCGGGTTTTATGCTCATTCCTAAGAAAAACACAATACAAGTCCTAACCTTACCAATGTGGTAAATCCGGTTGGCAGGCCGGCCGGACCACCATTTTTTAATGGGCGGCCCAGCCCAACCCCTATTGTGATCCTATTTCCTCTCCCAGCAACCAACAAAGCCCTGACTAGGGTTTGATATCGAGCCAGCTCGGCTTGGCTCGGTCCAGCTCGAGCTGGCTCGTTAGGCTAATGAGCTAATTCGGCTCGGCTCGTTAATATTACGAGCTAGAGGGGCAGCTCGGCTCGGCTTGTTACCGAGCTCGAGTTGGCTCGCTTAGCTTGTGAGCTATTAAAAAAATAGGACACACATGTTTATAATATTTATGCTATATTAATTTCAGAAGGTGACGTCCACCATTATGCAACCATACATGATTAATACATATCAGGTTCATCAAAAGTATCAACCATGCAACATAATTGATCCATCCATGATCATGCAGTTACAGCATGCTAACTAGTTGCGTGCCACCACAAATTTAGAAAAGTCCACAGATTCAATGTCAGCATCATCATCTTCTCTCTGAAAAACAATCCATAAAATCAACATTTAAGTACCACAACAATTATAAAATTAAAATTCATATGAAACAGCTGAAAATAAGAATTACATACCAATATAATAGGTGTACTTCTAAGTCAGCATCATCATCTTCTGGATTTATGGTCATGAGCTGATAGGCCTCAACTCGTTTTAGCTCATGAGCAGCTCGTGAGCTGGCTCGTTAAAATGCCGAGCTAGACTTCCAACTCAACTCGTGAAAAAGTTAAAACAAGCCAAGTCGAGCCGAGCTGAGCCGGCCATGAGTTGAGCGAGTTGGCGAGCCGCGAGTATTTTGTCCAGCCCTAGCCCGACAAGTTCGTTCCATATATATGTTACTTCCGATTTTATTTTTTTTTACTTCCAAACATGCCAAACCAGGCTCTTAAGTTTTAACTTATACATCCAGTTAAATTCAATTTTCGGTGGGAATGCCAATCGTGGCAACGAAAATTAGAGAAATTAAGCTTCGATAGACCATTTCCCAGCTACGCAGCCATCCTTATCATCACCTCGTCGTCACACGCATACGTCGCCACCAGCCGTCCCTATCGCGTGTCAGCGTTCGGCTCCTGGGCGTGCGTGCAAACAGCAAACCAAGGGGTGTTTAGTTACTCCAAATTACCAACTTTGGCACTATAGAAAAGGAAGATTCCCCGTCACATCAAACTTTCGGTACATGCATGGAGTACGAAATGTTGATGAAATTAAAACTAATTACTGCAGTTTGGTTTGTACTTTTTTGAGAAGAACGTTTTGAACCTAATTAGTCAACGATTGGATAATTATTACCAAATAAAATAAACGCACTGCAGCTACAATGTAGCTACAGTGTTTTTGTCGACGCCAAATCGGTGCAACTAAACGAGGCCCAAAACGGTTTCTGTTCTTCTCAAACTGGGCATTGTTTAGATTGGGGTTAGAAATCAAGATTTAAAGATCGTAACACTTTCGTTTGTATTTGACAATTATTGTCCAATCATGGCCTAACTAGGCTCAAAAAATTCATCTCGTAATTTACAATTAAATTGTGTAATTAGTTATTTTTTTTATCTACATTTAATACTCCATGTATGTGTGCAAAGATTTGATGTGATAGAGAGAGTGAAAAACCTTACAATCTAAACCAGGCCTGGGAACTTCTGCGCAACTCACAGCGACGTACGGATGCGCCAAAGTTTGTACTCTTTCAGAATTTCAAACAAGCGTCCCTGGTGATCAACTAAAAAAGGCCGATTGTGCCGTGCTATGTGGTGGCACATCTCGATCAGATAACCTGAACGAGCTGCGTGCTTGAAGTTCTTGTGTGATGGATCATAGATGATTCAGAGAAAGAGCTATACAAACAACAGACTCTGGTAGTGTGGCCATTTCAGCCGTCCATTCCAAAAGGAGATTACTATCTCCTGTGTACTACAATTTTGACCAGTTCTCTGAATCCTGTATAATTAATTCTGACCATGGCCTTAGCAATATTCAAATAGAAATGAATTATAGAAGATGTAACTTTAGCTACACGTCATATTTTCAGATTCCTCACTCTGTTGAGATGTCCACAGTGGAGACTCATAATTTATATTACAAATATCTGACAAAAAGGAAAATGAAACAAGCTATGGCAATGCCAGCACTATGGCATACTTTTCTAAATGACAATAGTAATCTCTTCTTTGTATGAGAATATTATTTGCGAAAATATACATCTATTTTGTCCAATGCAAATTGAGCGCAGTGGAAGCTGCACTCTTCCCCAGGCCCGAGACAACACTAATTTTTAGTGGTAGACGATATACTCGTTGACAATGAAGCGTATATGGTAACTTTGAATTAATATCGAGATCTCTTAGCCTAGTCTCCCTCACAAAGGGATGCGTAGGGGGTAGAGTGTGGATGCACGCCTAGGGGTGAGTTCACTATGCTCAAAAAAACTTGGATACGAATAATCTGCTATTGATAATGTTAGCTAGTGGTTTGGCTTTTGTCGAAACTTCAGTATCACTAGTGAACTGTACCTCTTGTATTCAATTTTGTTGTTCCTTTTGTTTTTGTACTTGCTGTGACTACTAGCAAAAAACATACCCCTAAGTACATAATAGGGCGTCTAGCAACAGAACTTTAAAAAAAAAAAGAGAGATCAACTCGCCCTCCTAATAAGTTCTACAGCGAAGCTGTGTATCCATGTTCCACCTTGCGAATCACCTCACCCCCATCGCCTTTATCCGTGAATGTTGCACTGCTGCAAGTGTAGGTTATCATAGTTAAGGTACCTGTTCCAGTAGTGTCTGTACTTTGGGATAGAAATTTCCAGCCAGGGTTTCAGTTTCCCACTGTAGTGGATAACAGAGGCACTCTCAAGTTCATCTCTTCCAATGCTGAAGTCATGACCAAGCCCAAGAACATGCCATCGGTGGTCAAGAGGCAGTGTTCGGTTGTAGAAGATGAGCTGACCCAGTGGCAAGCTTCCTGCCTTCCATAACTTCTCAATTTTGCCCTGAAAATTGGAAACCAAAGCAAAATAGGTTGTCATAAACAACAAGTAAAAGCAGAAATATTTCACATAAAAGCTGTGCTCCCTCAAAATTAATTAAGATATCATTAACACTAACCAGTTGAAACCATTTATGATAAGTTGTAGTCAAATCCTGTTTGCGCCATTCATTCAGGTCAAATATGTTCATTCCAAATGCAAACGCACGAGCCTTTGGATCAAGTTTGTTGAAGATGTTTGGATTAGAAAAGTCAACAAGGCTATCCAATCGATGGTAACCTTCACTTGAAGTGCATGTCTCAACAGCACCAATTACTTTACCCTTCATATCTAGATCCCATAATCCAGTTAAGTCATTCTGGACTACCACATCATGGTCCAAGAGTACAACCTTGCCCAAAGAGGGAAACACTTCTGGCAAATAAAAACGCAAGTGGTTCAGTGCAGAAGTGTATCTTGGATCTCGAACACCCTTCAGCTTGAATCTGGAACTGAAATCACCAGGCAACCATTTCAAATCATCTAGGCTTTTGATTTGGATTGCTGCTGGAGTTGGTGGGTTTGTCAGAAACCACATCATCATTGCAGGATAATTCAATGAGTCAGTTACAATATGTAATATTATCCTTCTAGGATCCTGCAAAATAAAATAGGCTGAAACAAAAGAAGATTCCTGGATGGAATGAAAGTATCAACAAGTCATAGTGCAGTCCTTCCTTTCATGCTCCTTGCATGTAAATTCTCATCATACAACATGAATAACAAAGTAATCAAAAATAAATATTCATCCAATAAGTCCCTCAAAGTTATAGAAAACCAATAGCAGGGTAATTATAGACATGCAGAAAGCATACAGCGGCAGTTGCCACATTGAAGTTCCATTGTTTTTAACTGTAGTGCATTGAGTAAGCACACAGCTCACAGAGAAAGCAAACCAAGTATTATTGCTTCACGAATCTAAGATCATACCTTTGATGCAGCAATTGTAGAGTTGACAACCACAGCACTTGCAAGCACATTGTCAGAGAATATTGCATAATGATAATAACCATCCAACTGAATGCTGTCTCTTATAGGGAATTCACGTTTAATGGGATCTAACGAAAAGTATTCTGAGGTGAGTTGCATTGCTAGGCAGTGATGGCCTTTGGGTAATGTCCTCACAGCAACCTGCTCGAGGAATGAAGATTCGCTTTGGTGTGCTCTGACCAATTCTTCACTGTTATGCATCATTGCACGTAGCTTTGATGTCATCTGAGAGCAACGTGGGTAGGTCCTCTGAGCCTTGGAAAGGGTCAGCTCCATCGCCTTCATTTTTGTAACGCACTGCATAGTGTTTTCCTTTTTTATGTCAGTAACAGAATTGTTTCTTTCATGAAGCATTTGCATAGTTCAACAGAACTACTTTAATGATCATTGTAGCTAAAGCTTACCTCCCAGGTACATGGGTACCTCCACTTGAGTGGCTTATTGCCCTTTCGATCTCTTTTATCCTCAATCTCAGCTCTCGACCTAAATGTACACTACCTCGGGGAGCAGCGAAATGCAAGTATGCCTTGGCCATAATTAGCTGATCTTGCATCATCCATATCTTTTCTTTGGTGTCCGGGGGAGATTTAGATATCCTTTCGTCTTCTTCCGCTGCAATTTCATCAGTTTGCCCGTCTATCTGTAGAAAGACTCACTGACTTAGTATCTTTAACTGCATTCAGTTGAAACGGTGATTGTACCCCCTGCTCAGAAACATACTGAAAAGGACAAGGCATTCTGCAGAGGAAATTGACCAAAACCTCGCAATATTCATTTTGAACTGGCAAAGGTTCAGCCACATATACAGTATAAGCAAGAAAAAAAATCAGGGGAGAAAATCCTACTTGAATTACTGCTCCCTTGACATATAATTAGCGGTTCCCCTGTCTAGTGTCTACTGTCTACTGTAGTCCAACTTCATATTCAGGCTACAGAATTCAGCAATTTGGCACCACGAACGCTACGCTTTCTTAGTATAATTCAGCAGTGGCACTTCTCTACCACACCGACACCCAGGTCCCAGGAACAACTACTTCCAGGGATGAAATGGAAAAGGTTGTTCCCAGAATTGTTTAAATAAATAAACTATCCAATGGTACACTCCCCGTAGTCCCAATAAACAATATCACAGTTGCAACGAATTACCTCTTCGGTGACGACACTCAGCCTTCTGGCCTCTCGAATTCTCCCCTGCAAAAGCACAAGCACCAAATTCACATTGGAGGCAAACGAAACTAACAAGAATGGAATCGACAGAACAAAAGAAGGAAAGGACCAGCAGAATCAGGATCGTCTGGGACACAGTATCACTCTCACCTGCTGCACCGACAGGCGGGCCCCACCACCCCACCAGCGCCGCGCTCCCCACCTGCACGCAAAGCAGGTTCCCATCGCCATCAGCAAGGCAAATTAAGCACACACCAAGCGCGCCACTGAACCCGCGCCGGGCTCCCAACGAAATTAGCCCGAGGGGTTCTCCGCGACGGGAGGAGCGAGGCAGGTCGCTGGACTCACCGGGGCCGGCAGAGCGGGCGCGGCCGTCGGGGAGCGGGAGGTGGAGGAGCGCGAAGACGAGGCCGCAGGTGGTCGCGATCAGCAGCACCCGCAGCACAGCGGCCGCGGACGACTCTCTCCCGCCGGCGGCCACCCACATCGCGCGCGCCGCCAGTACGTTGGCAGCCAGCCGCCCACCACGCCACTCGGCTCTCCAATCTCGGGCACAGCGCCGCCCACGCCGCCGGAACCGCTCTCGAATTCGGCTGCCTCTCGCGGTCTCGCCTACGGCTACTACCAACGGTTGTGTGAAACTGTGAGAAACCGTAGTAAGCGGGGGAGGGGTGGGGTGGGGTTCAATCTGGGAAAAAAAAAAAAGGAACCGAGAACCGAATCAAACCGAAGTAACCGAAACCGAAACATTCGGTCCCAGGTTCGGTTTCAGGTTCTCAGGAACCAAAATTATTACGGTTAATTCAGTTCCTGCACTCGATTAACCGAATTGACCTGAAATAACCAAAATATGTAAAGGGCCCTAGAATATTGCTCTATGCTTAAATATTTGAGAGAACGATAACATATATATGTTGTACTGTTGTTTTATCTTTGCATTCTTTGTTTAAATTGTCCTTTTGACTGCATGAAAATCTGCAAAATCTTTGTAAAATTTGCAATTGAATGGGTTGTTTCTTGGTTCTGAAAAATTTGGTTACATCGGTTAAAACGAAACCCGAATCAATTAACCAAACCGAAATGTCTCGGTTCCGCATTTTCAAAGTAATCGATCGATCCTTCCTCTCGATAACCGAATTAGGTGAAGAACCGAACCGATCGGTTTCGATTAACCGAACGCCCAGACTTAGGTGGGGTGTCGTGGTGGTGGGGGACGGAGAAGGAGTGGGCCAGGTGTCGAGAGAGGCATAGTGGTGGTGGGGTCTGGGATACGTGGGCTCCGATCCGGGTCTGCGAGACGTTTGTCTTTCGTGGGTAGGGGCGGCTGTGAGTAGGCGCTTCTGGAAATCTGTCTTTTAATTTCTTTCTTTTTTTGCGGTCGTGTTATCTTGGAAGTATTAGGATGTGTTTCCTTGTGCATGAGCAATCACGATTGTCCTTTCCTCTTCTGCAGGTGGGGTCCACTGGCTTCCTACACTCAGTTTTCAAATTAGGTAAAGAATTTGAAAGAGTGGGGAACGGATGTTTTGTTTCGAAATTTCCAAATTGCAAACACGTCTTGTACCACGGGTCCACGCCTGAAGTCCTCAACTTAGTCTGTCTCATTGTCTAGCAGAGCTCATACTAATACTAATAGTTCATGCAAGTTGGCCAATCCCAGTTTTATTAGTAAAGCTCGAGTTGTGTGTAAGTTCTGAGTATTTTAGATGAAATATACAGAGATTTAAACTACTTTGTTTTGTCCTATAAAGTTTGGTTTTATGTAGGAAATCTAAAAGCTATAGCTTGGCTAAACATAGCCTAAGCTAAACGCGGTCCGGGATGGAGTATGTGATCCGGAATTCCCGGAGCCCGAGACCGGCGATTCTGAAGGCGACCCTTTCCCGACCCCGTTCTAGCTCGTCTCGTCGACGATATGGAACAGCTCTGCCGGTGTTTCCCATTGAACACCGACGTCCACACCCCGCCTACCGGTGCCCAACCGATGGCGGCCACCACATATCGACGGTTAGCCGTTTCAGGCGCCGTCGACCACAGATTCCGCTAGGTTTTAGCACCGCTAGGATCCTGGGTCCGATTTGGTTTGTGCTCGCGCCTCTGATCTGCGTGCGGCACACCTTTGTCTCCACGACGATCGCATCCATGGCTATGAGCGGGAGTGGAAAGCCGGATCACCGGGATGAGCACGTCGCTGATCTGCTATAGAACCTGAACCTGACTGCAGAAGAAGGGGATGTAGTGGCGTTCAGTGACGATGAGGAAGACAATGAAGCCTCTGTTGTGGAGTGGACCATCGTTGGCAAGGTTCTGTCGCCGGCCACGATGCACGCCAATGCCATCTACCAGGCGATGAAGCCGACATGGGGCAATCCCTTCAGCTTAAAGATTAGAACGATTGGGAAAAAGGAGGAGAATCTTTTTGTAGCAGAATTCAACTTCCAAAAGGACATGGAGTGGGCTCTGGCTGTTGAATGAACATGACCTTAGCCATAGATCTAGCGGGTACATCTTACTATAAACATGATGAACACACCCTAGAACTTTGAACTACTAGATCTAGAGGGAGAGGAAGGGATGGAAAGGGCTGACCGTCTGTGCCCTTGGAGGAGGATCTGCTCGCGTTCACCATGGAGTCGGTTTAGGCAGTGGTGCCGGTGACGCAGTCCGGTGGTGCAGTTCGGTGGCGGCGAGAAAGTGGAGCTTCCCGTCACTAGCTGCGCACCCTCTAGATCGGATTAGGGATTTCGGTGGGAAACTGTAGCTCGGTAAACCTCATACTCAGAGCCGCCGGCCCCCACCTCTATATATAACATAGTGTGACAGAGGCCCTCCAGCCATAATGAGCTGGGCGCACCCGATCAGGGCGCGGATCAAAGACCTAGGACCGTTGGGCCTAGTTTGGGATTAGAGATCAATCTAACAATCTCCCCTATGATCTCCTACCATCTTTCAATTTCATATCATTTACTTTTGTTCATTCCATTACAGATTAGCGCATAAAGCATGTTTCATCGTCACGGTCAATTGCCGATAGATTTAACAACTACAACACACCACTCTGTTCTAAAATAGATACTTAACTTTGGGCCTTCTTCCTTAAACCCATGCTGGCTACATGTTCTCTGAACACGTTGGGTGGTAAGCCTTTTGTAAGCGGATCCGCGAGCATCTTTTTGGTACTTATATGCTCAAGACTTATGACATGATTCCGGACTTTATCTTTCACAACATAATACTTTATGTCAATGTGTTTGACAGCACCACTTGACTTATTGTTGTGAGAATACTGTATTGTCGGATTATCATCGCAGTATAACTTAAGTGGTTTATATATGTCATCAACCACCTTCAAACCGGGTATGAACTTCTTTAGCCAGTTCACCTGCCCCGTTGCCTCATAACACACTACAAACTCGGCATACATTATGGATGATGTAGTGACGATTTGCTTTGAGCTTTTCCATGAAATAGCTCCCTGCGAGAGAATACATATCTAGGCGTGGATTTTCTATCATCTCCCTATAATCGAATATGAATATCCCACTATATGGAGTGAATCGATCTTCTATCGTCATCATGAGTCTTTTTTTCCTTGCAAATAACGCAAGACTTTCTTTACTAATTTCCGGTGTTACGCTCTAGGATTGCTCTGGAATCGCCAAGTAACTGTAACAAATGCCAAGTCGAGAGAGCGTACATACTTGAGCATATTGCAAGCTTCCGGCAATTTGAAGCATATCGAACCGTTTTCATTTGATCGATCTCATCTCTGATTCCTAGGGCATTGAAAATCCCCATATCTGTCGCCCTTGATTATAGGAGCAGGTGAGGGACTACATTTGTACATATTAAATTTCTTTAAGATCTTTTCTATGTATGCCTTTTGTGACAGTCCTAATACCCCTTTACTTCTATCTCGGTGAATCTCGATCCCTATAACGAGCGAAGCTTCACCAAGATCTTTCATATCAAATTTTAAGGACAAAAACTTCTTTGTCTCTAATCTTGGACTAACATCACTACTAGCAAGTAAGATATCATCCACATACGGGATAAGGAAGATAAACTTGCCATTCTTAAACTTTGCATAGACACAATTGTCCTCTACATTCTCTTTAAACCCAAAATTCCTTATTATCCGATCAAACTTCAAGTACCAACTGTCTTAAAGCTTGTTTTAATCCATAAATGGATTTCTTTAGGCGGTATCCCATTCGTTCTTTTACTTCCATGACAAAACCTTTCGGTTGTGCCATGTAAACATTTTCCTCAAGTCCCCGTTGAGAAATGTCGTCTTTACATTCATCGATGTAATTCTAAATCGTAATGTGCCACTAATACCATTATGATTCTGAAGTAATCCTTACATGAGACTAGAGAAAATATTTTATTGTAATCAATGCCTTCTCTTTGCGTAAAGCCTTTGGCCATAAGTCACGCTTTATATCTCTCTATATTCCCTTGAGAGTCAAGTTTTGTTTTATAGACCCATTTACAGCCTACTGTTTTGGCTCCTTTAGGAATTATTTCCAAGTTCCAAACTTTATTGGCATTTATAGATTTCATTTCATCTTCGATAGCCTCAAGCCACTTTGATGAATGATCACTTCTCATGGCTTCTTCAAATGAGGTGGGATCATCCTCCATTTGAAATTGCTCAGTGTTGTATACTTCATAGTCAACGGGAATAACTGATTTTCTAACTCTTTGAGACCTTATAGGGGCCTCCACATTTGGCACATCTTCTGTTTGAGGCTGTTGTTGCTCCCCCTCATGTGTGGCAATAGGTTCTACAGGATCCTAAAGAACGGGTTCCTCATCGTCATTCATTGTTGCCACAGGCGGAATAACAATAGGTGCTGGCACCACAGTATCTTGCACTGTCGGTGCAGCGACAACAGGTAGTGAGAAAAATGGCTCATGAATCATCAGAGTGGGCACATACACCCGCTTCTCTTCAAGGTGAATTTCTCGAGCTACCATGCTCCCCCTCATCATTTCGTCCTCTAGGAAGACAGCGTGTCTCGTTTCCACAAACTTTTATGTCTGTCTGGACAGTAGAAACGAAAATCTTTTGACTTTTCTGGGTAGCCAATGAAATGGCAACTTACTGTTTTGGGATCTAGCTTCCCAATGTTTGGGTTGAATACTTTAGCCTCAGTAGGACTCCCCCACACACGTAAGTGGTTTAGTGAGGGTACTCTTCCTATCCACAACTCATACGGTGTTTTGGGCATCGACTTACTTTGTACTCTATTGAGAATATGAATGGCGGTTTTTAACGCCTCCATCCACAGGCTCAACGGTAAGGTGGAGTACCTTATCATACTACGCACCATATCCTTCAGGGTACAATTGTGTCTTTCAGCTACTCCACTCTGCTGAGGTTCAACCAGTGTAGAATACTGGGCTACTATGCCATTCTCCTATAAGAACCTTGCAAAAGGTCCAGGAACTTAGCCATATGGGGTATGCCGACCGTAGTAC